TCCAGTCTGTGCTCCTCACACAAGGCAATGGCGGCCTTGTTGTCAACGTACAGCACTGGAGGAGAACGAGGCTGCTCTCCCAAGTCAGTCAGCAGGTAGGTGAGCCAGCGTAACTCCTGTGCAGCCATGGCGGTGGCGTAGATCTCAGCCTCACAACTGGAGCCGAGAACTGAAGTCGAGCGTGTAGAACGCCACGAAACTGAACCAGAGCCAAGGCTGAAGGTGTAACCCTGTGACGACCGCTGAGTAGCCAGGTCGTCAACCCAAGAAGCGTCTGAGTGCCCAGTGAGGACAACTGGGCTCGTCCCTCCAAGCACTAGCCCCATGCCTGATGTGCTGCACAAGTAACGCAGTACCCTCTTAGCAGCAGCCATGTGCTCAGGTCGGTGCCGACCAGGAGCCACGTAGCGAGCCAGGAGACCAAGAGGGTACGCGAGGTCAGGTCGAGTGCAAGTCATCAGGTACATGAGGCAGCCGACTAGCTCTGGGTAAGGACCACTCGGCTCTACGGACTCGTCCGAAGGTGGAGCTGAGAGCGTGTGACCTGTAGCCAGAGGAGTGGCCTGTGCTGAAGACCAGGTGAAGCCGAAGCGCTGAAGGACCTGCTGCACCATGTGTGACTGAGTCAAGGTGATGGTGCGACGTGCTCTGTCTCGGGTGATTTGCAAGCCAAGGTAGCTGCGCAGCTCACCCAAGTCTGTGCACGTGTGTCTCTTCTGCAGCTCCGACTTCACGTGGGCGAGAGCCTCAGTGTCAGCAGTGGCAAAAACCAAGTCGTCGACATACACGAGGATGTAGAACGGCGGCAGGGAAGTGTCGGTGCACAGAAACAGCGACGGGTCAGCAGTAGAAGGCGCAAACCCAAGAGCCGCAAGCGTAGTCCTCAGTGTGTCGTGCCACTCACGTGGCGCCTGGCGGAGACCGTAGACCGGCCGCCAGAGGCTCCACTGGGTACCAGGAGGGAACGACCCAGTGAAGCCCGGGGGGCGGCGCAGCCAGATCTCCTCGTGCAGGCTGCCCTGCAGGAAAGCTGTGCTGAAGTCAAGAGAGTGAAGCTCGTAGTCACGGTGAGCAGCAACGTGCAGCAGCACCCGAAGAGTGGTCATCTTCGGAGTGGGGGAGAAGGTCTGGAAGAAGTCAACTCCCTCTCGCTGACTGAAGCCTCGAGCCACGTAACGCGCCTTGAAGACAGGCGGAGAACCCGGCGGCCGCTTCACCCTGAAAATCCACATGCCACTGACGATGTTCGCCCCAGGTGGGGGAACCTCGTCAACGTAGGTGCCTGTGGACTTCCAGGAAGCCATCTCTGCGTCCATGGCTGCCTGCCACTGAGAGGAGTAGGGACCCTCTATCGCCTCTGCGTAAGAGCGCGGAGTCGGGATGTCTGGTGCATCCGGGTCTCCCTCAGGGGCAAGTAGCGAGGACACAAGATGAGGTAAAGCAGCAGCAAGGCACTGGAACTCCTCCTGCCTGTCCTCAAGGACGTCCGTGCTAAGAGCACACTCACCCCCGACGGACGGAGGACAGACAGACTCAGACTCAGTAACAAGACTGGCAGTGAAGTCTAGACGATAGGCAGCAGCAAAGTCAACAAGCTCAGCGACAAGAGCAGACGCAGCAGCAGACTCAAACGACGGGTCAGTGACAACTGTGGCTAGTAGACGCGTGACAGTAGGGTGCTGAGCACGAAACCGGTCAGACGCAGGGTCCGGAACGTCAGGCAAAGAGGACGCAGGAGGAGACGGCAGAGGAACAGGCTGCGGAACAGAGGAAGGACGACGGACTACGAGGTGCGCGCTGGGGACAGCCGGCGGACGCGAACGAGGAACACGAGGACCGGTACGACCAGGACGAGCAGGCGAGACAGGACACGACGCAGGCTCACGACGCACAGCAGGACTACCAGTCAGCTCAGCGTAAGGAGAAGGAGCAGGCAGCGGCGAGCCAGTCTGTAACGGAAGACCAGTAGACGACGGAAGAGTAAGAACCTGACGAAGAACAGAGGCAGACGGCGGCAGAGACGACGGAGACGGCGGAGCGAAGAACAGTCGTGTCGGCGCAGCTGCACCAGAACCAGCAGCTCCAGCAGCTCCAGTGCCTCCAGCAGCTCCAGTACCTCCAGCAGCTCCAGTACCTCCAGCAGCTCCAGAAGCTCCAGGCCCAGAGCCGACACCTCGAGTCCCAGGGTCTCCAACCTCTGTGTCTCCAGCAGCAGCACCCCCAGAACCAGCACCTCCAGTCCCAGGGTCTCCAACCGCAGGGTCTCCAGCAGTAGCACCCCCAGAACCAGCACCTCCAGCTCCAGGGTCTCCAACCTCAGCGTCTCCAGCAGCAGCACCCCCAGAGCCAGCACCTCCAGTCCCAGGGTCTCCAGCCTCAGTGTCTCCAGCACGAGCCCCTCCAGAACCAGCAACTCCAGCACCTCCAGTAGACAAAGGACCAGCACGACTCCGAGGTCTCCAACCTCTGTGTCTCCAGCAGCAGCACCCCCAGAACCAGCACCTCCAGTCCCAGGGTCTCCAACCGCAGGGTCTCCAGCAGTAGCACCCCCAGAACCAGCACCTCCAGCTCCAGGGTCTCCAACCTCAGCGTCTCCAGCAGCAGCACCCCCAGAGCCAGCACCTCCAGTCCCAGGGTCTCCAGCCTCAGTGTCTCCAGCACGAGCCCCTCCAGAACCAGCAACTCCAGCACCTCCAGTAGACAAAGGACCAGCACGACTCCGAGCTCCAGCAGCGCGACGCTGACGGCGACCGTACCAGTCCTGCAGCTGCTGTGGGGTGAGAGGCACACGGGGACGAAGGCGGCCACTCCAAGGAGACCGCGCAACAGCAGACTCAGAACCCTCAGCGCCCGCACCCCCAACGGCTCCAGAACCTCCGGTGTCAGTACCCTCAGCACCAGTACCTCCAGCGACTCCAGAACCTCCAGCGCGAGCACCCTCAACAGCTCCAGGACCTCCAGCTCCAGCGCCACCAGGACTAGGCCCTCCAGCAGCTCCTGAACCTCCAGCGCCAGCACCCTCAGTAGCTCCAGAACCTCCAGCGTCAGTACCGCCAAGCTCAGCACCCCCAGACCCCTCACACGCAGGCTCAGCACCACCAGGCTCTACACCCTCAAGCTCCGCACCCTCAGGCTCAGTACCCCCAGACTCAGCACCCCCAGGCTCCGCACCCCCAGGCTCAGCACCCCGAGCAGGACCACTCGCAGGAGGACCTGAGTCACCAGTGACCTCAACCGGCGCAGTCAAGGGAGGAGGGTCTACCTGAGAAACACCTGAAGGAGCAGGACCGGGAGCGGGGAGGGGGTCTACCTGGGGAGCACCTGGAGCAAGGAAGAGCGGCGGGGGGGGGAGCGAGGCAGTGCGGTAGGGGAAGAGACGGTAAAAGGGAACCGACTCGTCGAACGTGACATCCTGAGACGCAAAGACACGGCGCGAGGTGGGGTGGTAAAACTGCCAACCAGGCGCGTCAGGGACAAAGCCAAGGAAGACACAGGGAACAGCGCGGGCGGAGAGCTTGTCCGCGGTGGTATCGCGGACAAAGGCACGAGCACCCCAGACCCGGAAACGCGACGCATCGCCAACCTTCCCCGTCCACAGCAGTGTGGGCGAGGTCTCCGGCAAGGAGACACGGGGCCAGAGGTTGAGCTGATGCGCGGCGTACCGGACCGCAAACGGCCACAGAAAATGGGGGGCAGCGCGCGGTAGCAGCGTGTGTGCGGGCCCGACAGGCGTGTAGAGGCGGCGCGCGGGCCTTACGGGCCTCTAGGGGCAGCGCGCAGGCAAGGCAAGGCAAGGCAAGGCATACAAGGCAAGGCAAGGCTACGTGGGGTAGCGCGGTAACCGCAGCGGTAGGTGGGCCCGAAAAAAAAAACGGTCCTACGGACCTTAGTGCTCTGAAACCATGTTAGAATCTAGCAGCAGGAATGGATGAACTAACAGGATGCAGGAGTACAAGTAGTAAACCCTAACTAGGTTGTACCCCATATGGGCTACCCCACTACAGCCTAGACAATATGCAGCACATATAGTTTGACAAATAGCCGGGTATAATTCAACACCTTAGTATTGTAATATTATGGTTCAGAGTCTCATATTTACATGACTAGCATATCAACTGACAGAATTACTCACTTGTGGAGATTAGCCATAGATATTCTGTTAGCATGAATTGTATTCATTATTCTGTTACAAATGCATTGTAGTCACTGTATAATGTTCGCAATAACGAAGATTGTCTCGAACCAGTCCGACGTCAGAATGAGGACGCGTCACAAGTAAAATATCGAGGAAGGATCAGGGTTGTTCACCGAACCTGTCAAACCGATCGCCATATCGGTGTGTCACGACTGCTTTGAAGTTTCAAGTGACACGATCGTAAAAACATGGGGCAAAATTGCCCGATGTGGACGAAATTGCACGATCGATGTGTGACAGGGGCACATCGATCGCCTGACTTAGAAGGGAAAACTGTACGTTAGCGAAAATAAACGAAAATGTGTAACCACCTAAACACCGATTCTAGGCAGGATCGATGTTCTACTTGTGACGCGTCCTGAGACCTTGCTGACGCAAGTCCGTCACATCGGATGCATCTATAGACATCCACCAACCACCGTGTGCATGAACTGCCCCCATGCTCAGAAAGCCCACCACCTTCCCTCCCAGTCACGACCAGTGAGCAGTTTCGTGGCGAGGTGCACGCCACGTGGCAGATTCTTTTTAATCAAGTCGCGGTTCGTCAACTTCAAGGCTAGGAGGTCACCCAAACCAACAGCAACATCCACTCAGATTCCTCCCAGCCAGGAACACCTATCGGCCACCCACCATCACTCACCGCAACAAAACCATCCCCTTTCCCACTATATACTACAGTACCGCATTTCCTCCCTTGCGCCACTTCACTGGAACGCTCCAGCCACGTTACTTTTCTCGAATCGCCTGACGATTTTTTTTTGTTCGACAGACGACCTCTCGTCTCCACGGCTGATATCTCCACTCCATGGCGTCTCCGAAGCTTCCCGTTCAGGTACGACGCGGAATTCAGGGCACTTACGTCCTGGTCCGTCGCCACGCTGAATCCGTCTGAACGAATGCTTCGCGATCCTGCTCAGTCACGAATGTGGCTCGATTGTGGCGGAAATTGCAGGTATTCAACCCTAATGGAAGGTTCCGCGTGGTTTCCACGAAGCCTATGCCCGGGACCAGCTGGATTGACGCGCTAGTTGCCGCGGATTGCCGGCTTGAGGTGCGTACTGCGGAAATCCCACTAGAGGTGGATGTCGATGCTGCTAGCCGGCAGCCAAGCAAGCTCCTATCCCGCCCGCTTCACTGCTCCGTGCGTCCAATCGTCCGCAACCAGTCGTGGCAACCAATGTCCTCCTCATGAATTCTTTTTCGCGCTTCAATCAAACGTCCGCTTCCGTGATTCCTCGTTGCGACGGCCCCTCCGCGTGCGACAGATCTGCACGGCGAGCAAGACGATTCTGTCGGTGGACGACATCCTGCAGCTCATCGGCGACAGATGCGACGGCGTCATTGGCCAGGTTCGTACGGCGAAAGGTGCGTACAGCGAGCAGATGCTAGCGAGCAGGTGCGTACAGCGAGCAGATGCTAGCGAGCAGGTGCGTACAGCGAGCAGATGCTAGCGAGCAGGTGCGTACAGCGAGCAGATGCTAGCGAACAGGTCCGTACAGCGAGCAGATGCTAGCGAGCAGGTGCGCATAGCGAGCAGATGCCTGCCTACAGCGACAAGGTGCCAATAGCAGCAGCTGTTCTCCGTGGTGTAGGCCGTTCGTCCTACTCCTCTTATTTCCCCTTCAGCATGCCAGCGCCCCAAACCAAACCCCACTCTCGCTTCTCCTCTGCTTCCCGTTCCCCCTCCCGCCCTCTTGGGTGTTTCCCCAGCTGACGGAGGACTGGGGCGAGCGGCTGTTTGCGGCGCTGGCGCGCGCGGGCGGGCGGGCGTACAGCAACATGGCGGTGGGGTACAACAACGTCGACGTGGACGCCGCTACCAGGCACGGCATCAGCGTCGGCAACACCCCCGTGAGTGCCTTGTGACGCGCCTCAAAGCGCGCCTTGTGAGTGCCTTGCCTTGTGACGCGCCTCAAAGGGCGTACAGCAGCATGGCGGTGGAGCTCAATCAACAACGTCGACGTGGACGCCGCTACCAGGCACGGCATCAGCGTCAGCAACACGCCCGTGAGTGGCCGGCGAGTGCGCGCCTGGCCAATCCCACGGCGGACCGAGTGGGTGATGAGTACCAGCAACATCACAGCAAGAAAAGCAAGGAAGAAAAAGGGAGGGGCAAGGGAAGGGCAAGGGATGGAAGAGGGAGGGGCAAGGGAAGGGCAAAAAGGAAGAGTTGATTTGAATGTGAAGGCGGGAGGGAGGAGGGAGTGAACATGCGCCTTCTCTTTGCGCGGCAGGAGTGGTGGCCATGCACGAGAGCTTGTCTGGCGAGGCGAATACAATGGCATGGAACCCAGCCCCGCGCGCATTCCCACCCTCCTCACGCCTCCCCCTCCCTTCCCCCTCCCCTCCCCCTCCCCTCCCCCTCCCCCTCCCCCACCCCCTCTTTCCTCCCCCCGCAGGGCGTGCTGACGGAGACGACGGCGGAGCTGGCGGCGGCGCTGACGCTGGCGGCGGCGCGGCGGGTGGTGGAGGCGGACTACTTCATGCGCGCGGGGAAGTACGATGGCTGGCTGCCCACCATGTGAGTTCCGCGAGGGGGAAAGAAAGGGAAAGAAGAGGGGGGGGAGGGGAGAAGGGGTTGGCCTCCCCAGCATGCGAGAGGTGCGCTGAAGGGGGGTTGGCGTGGTGGAGGCAGACTGCTTCATGCGCGCGGGGGGAGGGGGGGGAAGTACGACGGCTGGGTGCCCGCCATGTGAGTGGCGGGAGGGGGAAGGGAGGGGGAGGGCTGCCTGCCCGCCAAGTGAGTGGCGCACTGCTCGTGGGGGTGGTGGCGGAGGGGGAGGGTGTGGTGACGGGAGCGGTGGTTGTGAGGGCGTTGGTGAGGGAAGATGGCAGCACAGCAGCGCTCTGTGCTCCCACTGCATGCCATGCCCCATACACGTCATCACTCCAACGGACCTTCACACCCACCCCACCTCCCTGTTTCACAAGTTGATCCGCATCCTGCTCCAGGGGGCTCACGCCACACCGCCTCCTTCTTACCCCCGTTCTCCCACCCGCTTCCCCCATCTCCCCTTTCTCCCCCCCTCCCCCGCTTCCTCCCCCTGCCCTGCAGGTTCATCGGCAACCTGCTCAAGGCGGAGGCAGACGGTGGGCATCATTGGCGCAGGGCGCATTGGCAGCGCCTATGCGCGCATGATGGTGCGCCGGGGGGGATGGGGCGAAGGGGGAGGAATGGGCATGATGGTGGATGGGGGAGGAATGGGGGGATGGTGGGGGGATGGGAAGGCGGGTCGATGGGGGAATGGAGTGATGGGGTGATGGGGGATGGATGGATAGAGGGATGGAGGTATGGGGAGGTGGAGGAATATGAGAGCAGTCTTGGCTCGTGACCCTCTGCGCACGCACACACATGCGCACGCACACACACACACACACACACACACACACACACACACACACACACACACACACACACACACACACGCACGCATGTGAAAATCACCCCTACACTCCTTCCCTCCCACTCTTTCCCCCGTTTGCCCCCTCTCCTGGCAGGTGGAGGGCTTTAAGATGAACCTCATCTACTACGACCTGTACCAGTCCAAGCGCCTGGAGGAGAGTGTTTCCGGTGAGGTGGGGGAGGAGTGGGTTGGGGGCGAGGGGAGATTGGCATTGACGTGGGGAGAGTGAGGCGAAAGACGGGTGAGAGTGGGAGGGAAGTGCAGAAAGAAGGGAGGATGCTTTTCACACCAGTGAATTCGTTTGGAATCAATGGCACTCTCGGGAGCAATCACACACTTGAGATCATTGCACCTCATGCATCCTTCACTACAACACATTTCTCCCTATCATCTTCTAAACACCATCAGTTCAGATACAATGCCCTCCTCTCACTCTACTTTCTAATTCTACTCGCTCATTCTCCTCTCTCACTTGTATCCACCCTCCTCCCCCCTCTTCCTGTCTCTTGCCAGCCTATTCCCGCTTCCTCCAATCCCAGGGCGAGCCGCCAGTGACGTGGCGCAGAGCGTCCACTCCTGAGGAGGTGCTGCAGGTTGCTGACGTGGTAAGCTGCTGACGTGTATACTCTGTGATGGTGCACACATGATCATGGTGGTTGGGCAAAAGAACTGGTTTGGACGACTGGACTAGCATGTGCAGGCAGTTGCATGGTGCACACATGCAATGAATCCGAACCTTCCCATCCCAGTTACATCCCATCCCACCCGTCACATCCCACCGTTCGTCTTTCGTTTGGCCCTGCAGGTGTCTCTACACCCTGTACTCGATAAGACCACCTTCCACCTGCTGGATGAGAGACGGCTCAACATGATGAAGAAGGTAAGCTCCGTTCATCTCATCGCTCACGCATACTGGAAATCGTCAACCGCATACACTTCCACATCACATCCACATCACATCCACATCACTTCCACATCACTTCCACATCACTTCCACATCACTTCCACATCACTTCCACATCACTTCCACATCACTTCCACCTGATCCTGTCAATATTCAAGGCGCCTTGATTGCTCCTGCCCCGCGTATTGAGGCGCCTCAAAACTCTGCCTCGTGTGGCACCATGCCTGTCCCCCACACCACTGCTGCCTGCCTGCTTGCCTTACCGGGTACATTATCCAACATCTCATGCCTCTCCCCCGTTCCTCACGACGCCATACTGGTGAACTGCAGCAGGGGGCCGGTGGTGGACGAGGTGGCATTGTTGCTGCCTCGTGTGCCCCCATGCCTCTCCCTCACACCTCTTGCACTGCCCCTATGTTGCACTCACTCACTCTCTCTCCCCCCTCCCCTCCCCCTTCCCTTCACAGGACGCCATACTGGTGAACTGCAGCAGGGGCCCGGTGGTGGACGAGGTGGCGCTGGTGAGGCACCTCAAGGCCAACCCCGCCTTCAGAGCCGCGCTTGACGTGTTCGAGGTGCGTGCAGTGACTGACAGAGCAGCGCTTTCGTGGTTGGCATGACTTCACTGCCCATCTAGGGTGCTGTAGCGCTGCCTACCCTCCACCCCATGCATATCTCCTCTCGCCGCGCGCCCTTCGTTTTGGATCCAGGCCGTGCAAGTTCATGCCCATCCATGAAACCTCACCCATGTCTATGTGTCAACACTTACCTCTCCCCTCTCCCTTCCTTCCCGCATCAGGACAAGTCGTTAATAAAGCCAGGCCTCTCCACGCTGCCCAACGTGGTGGTTGAGCCGCAACCCACCCACCCAGCCTTGTCAACCCGCCAGCACCCCTCCCTTCTCTCTGCCCCCCTCTTCTCATTGCATCAGGACGAGCCACTGATGAAGCCGGGTCTCTCCACGCTGCCCAACGTGGTCGTGGTGCCGCACATCGCCTCCGCCTCGCAGTGGACGCGAGCTGGCATGGCTGCCCTCGCTGCTCTCAATGTCGCCGTGAGTTCATCCCCTTCCTTCGCATGTGCCACTCATCTGGCCCACACAAGGTTTCTACCGCTCATTTCACTCGCATAAGCTGCTCCCCAGTCGAAGCTACAGAGCCACAATATCCCTTCCCTCCCATATCACCTCCTCTCCTCTTCTCTCCTGCACTGCTGTCGACCCACCCCCCCTCCTCCCATTTCCCTCAAGCTCATGAGGTGAAGCTACAAGACCATCCCATGTTGCACCAGCCCATCTTTTCCATTACACTTCTTCTCTTCCGTCCCTCCCACACCACCATCCCTCCCTCTTATTCTCTCCTCTGTGTTCCATCAGCCAAAGCTACAGGGCTAGGGCTACCCCGTGTGGCACAACCCCTAAACCCAAAACCCTAATCACTGATGACGTGCTGCCCTTGCATGTCCAAACCCCTCCCCTTTCCCTCACACGCAACCATTGCTCTCTCTTTCCCAACCCCCTTATGCTCCCCCCAGTCAAAGCTACAGGGCTACCCCGTGTGGCACAACCCCAATGACGTGCTGCCCTTCCTCGACCCCACCCGCCCGCCACCCAAAGCATGCCCCAGCATTGTCAACGCCAAGCAGCTAGGTGCGTGTGTGGTGCATGGTGTGCAGTGCATGGTGTGTGTGGGTTGTGCGTGGCGTGTGTGGTGCATGGTGCATGGCGTGTGTGGTGCATGGTGCATGGCGTGTGTGGTGCATGGTGCATGGCGTGTGTGGTGCATGGTGCATGGCGTGTGTGGTGCATGGTGCATGGCGTGTGTGGTGCATGGTGCATGGCGTGTGTGGTGCATGGTGCATGGCGTGTGTGGTGCATGGTGCATGGCGTGTGTGGTGCATGGTGCATGGCGTGTGTGGTGCATGGTGCATGGCGTGTGTGGTGCATGGTGCATGGCGTGTGTGGTGCATGGTGCATGGCGTGTGTGGTGCATGGTGCATGGCGTGTGTGGTGCATGGTGCATGGCGTGTGTGGTGCATGGTGCATGGCGTGTGTGGTGCATGGTGCATGGCGTGTGTGGTGCATGGTGCATGGCGTGTGTGGTGCATGGTGCATGGCGTGTGTGGTGCATGGTGCATGGCGTGTGTGGTGCATGGTGCATGGCGTGTGTGGTGCATGGTGCATGGCGTGTGTGGTGCATGGTGCATGGCGTGTGTGGTGCATGGTGCATGGCGTGTGTGGTGCATGGTGCATGACGTGTGTGGTGCATGGTGTGTGGATGAGAGGTGCAAGGCGTGCCCCAGCATCGTGAACGCGTAGCACCTATGTGTGTGTGCGGTGCATGGTGTGTGATTTTGTGTTTCCTTTGGTGATCCGTCCAACTTGCACCACATCCAGTGTGTCTCTTCCCCCCAACCACACCTCTCCTGTCATCCTGCTAACCTCATTCTTCCCCTTTCCCCTCTTCCCTCCCTTCATCCCCCCTCTCCCCTTCCTTCTCTCTCCCCTATGCATCTCCCAGGCCTGCCCACAACCACTCCTTCCAAGCTGTGACCGCTCCCCACACGCTCGTTGCCTCTCATTTGATGTCTCTTTATTATTTGTAGTTTTCAATTGTGCTTAATGTGAAGCTGGTTTCAAAATAAGGCTACATTTGTAGCTGGGTACAGTGTTATAATGCTTCACCAGCACTCCCATCAAAATCTGGTTGTGAAACAGGCATGATCATTGCACACAGAACACCCTACTTGATGCACAGTGAAGCGAGGAGGCGGTTTCACGTAGCGCATGGCTCTGGATAGCCGGCCCAGTTCTCCGGGGGCTTGCAGTTGCATTGCATGTTTTGGAGGAGGGTATTAGGGTACATGTCTGAATTGACACAAGTGTCTCAATCCTTTTGTGACACCCAAATTCAGCATACACCATATTGTGTCCCAAACCTGCATCGCCCTACTGCGACTTTAGGTGTATTTTCCGTTGGTTAGCGTGAAATGAGCTAAAGTCGCGGACGAGTTGCACGATGCCACGTCAGTGTCAACAATTTGCACGCGGTTCGAAATGTCAAGGTCTCGCTTGACCCGACCACATGCACCTGGACACCCCACACAACGCCAATTTCACGCGGGAGTCCAGAAGACTCGAGCATCAATCTGTCACTTGCCTGTGCGCTCCTCCTCTCCCACCACTGCCTTGAGGCGCTCCAATGCTGGGAAGGCATGAGATGAGAGGTAGAGACGTGAGACAGGACAGAGTTGTGAGGAAGGGAGAGGTGTGAGTGAGGGAGATGTGAGAGGAGTGAGATGAGAAATGTGCAATTCCTCATGCACACTAGCAAACAGAACCTGGGTAGCAGTAAATGCAATCACCAGCATTACAACTCCACACACAAGCACTGTAGAAAAATCACCAGCACCGCACTGCACCTGCCAACATGCACTGCACTCACCAGCATAATAGTGCTCTCGGAGCCCCTCCGCTCTGCGAGCAATCAGAGCGGCCCACCATCCCCAGCACCCACCCACAACGTCCCGCACCCACCAGCACCGCACTGCACTCACCAGCATCGTAATGCTCTCTAAGCCCCTCCATTAGGTGGGAGGGCGCCTTGCTCTGTGGGCAGTCTGCACATCCCACTTTGGCCAGCACTGCCTTGAAGTGCCGCACTGATGGCAGGGTGGGGGGATGGGGGGAATGGTGGATTGGATTGCATGGGTGGAACGAGTTCTGTCATTTCAGTCCGGGGGAGGGGGGTGTAACGGTATGGGGCACATGGCATACATGGGTCATCTCGTTACACTCCACACTGCCCCACCCACCTTCCCCACCACTGCCCTGAAATGCCGCAACTCAGGGCAGTGGGATGGGGGAGTGGGGTGGGATGGGTGGGGGTGGTGTGTGATTTGGGCCGGGGTTGGGCTATATGGGTAATACGGGGCACGGCAGTAACAATTCATTAGTGTCACATTCACCCCAGTCACAAGCATCGCACCTCCTGCTTCCTCAGAATCGTGTAGCAATGCCCCGGCCTGCCCGCCCGGGCAGTTCGGCCTGCCCGGTGAACAAAAGTCTTGGGGTACACAGGCGCGTCGTAGCTGACAACGTTGAACACGCCCTCCACGTCCATGCCACGTGTCATCGCGTCACTGGCCACCAGTACCTGCACCTCGCCCCTCCGAAACCGGTCCAGAATGGCACTGCTCATGCCGGCATGGGGGTGGTGGTTGTGGAGGGTCGGGGTGGGGGTGACGGTGTGTGTTTAAAGAAATTATTTGGCACAAGCAACCTGCAGCTCACCGCCATAAGGTTTGGGGGGGGATGGTGAGGAGAAATTGTCATGCATAGCTTATATGACATGTATGGCATGCAAGGCATGCATGGAATGCAGGGCATGTATGGGCATGCAAGCGGGTGGCAAGGAGAACGCAAATGGAGGGAAAGCAATGTCGGTGCGACCACCACTGCCTCTCCTCCTCATCTGCCCTCCTCCCGTCCTCACCTGCGTTGGCGCTGCGGCTGGCGGGAGGAGAACTCAGCAAAGGCGAAGGGCAGGGAGGCGGGGGGGAAGGCGGAGAGCAGCAAGAAGAGGCGGTGGGCTGCCTGCAGGGACGACGCAAACACCAGCGTCAACTGCCGGGGCCGCGCAGCAGCAGAAGTACCAGCGCTGGCAGCAGCATCTGCCCCTTCCCCGGCCCCCTCCCCTGCGGTGAGGTGCTTGAGCAGCGCCGCGAGCAACAGGGGCTTGTCAGTCGCACGCGGACACACCTGAGGAGGGGGAGAGGGGGGCAGGGAAGGTGGAGGGGGAGAGGAGCCGGGGAGGGTAATATGTGCCCGGTGGAGTGGCGACACAGTGCACGCAGCGTGTGCCCGGTGGAGTGGCGACACAGTGCACGCAGCGTGTGCACGGTGGAGTGGCGACACAGTGCACGCAGCGTGTGCCCGGTGGAGTGGCGACACAGTGCACGCAGCGTGTGCCCGGTGGAGTGGCGACACAGTGCACGCAGCGTGTGCCCGGTGGAGTGGCGACACAGTGCACGCAGCGTGTGTGGTTGGCAACGCTGACGGTGTGTGGTGGAGGGGGGAAGAAGTGAGGAGAGGGAGACTCGAGAGGAGGGAGGGGACGGGAAGAGAGGGCGACGAGGAAGAGGGGGCGGAAGAGGGAGAGGGAGGAGGGAAGAGGGAGGAAGAAGACGTTAGAGGAGAGAGGACAAACAGCAGGTGTGTGTGTGTGTGTGAGTGAGGCTGGAACAGTTACACCACCACAACCCTGACAGCCTTGCACACTCCATTCACCCCCATCACACCCATCCCACCATACTGGCACCATACTGGCACCATACTGGCACCATACTGGCACCATACTGGCACCATACTGGCACCATACTGGCACCATACTGGCACCATACTGGCACCATACTGGCACCATACTGGCACCATACTGGCACCATACTGGCACCATACTGGCACCATACTGGCACCATACTGGCACCATACTGGCACCATACTGGCACCATACTGGCACCATACTGGCACCATACTGGCACCATACTGGCACCATACTGGCACCATACTGGCACCATACTGGCACCATACTGGCACCATACTGGCACCATACTGGCACCATACTGGCACCATACTGGCACCATACTGGCACCATACTGGCACCATACTGGCACCATACTGGCACCATACTGGCACCATACTGGCACCATACTGGCACCATACTGGCACCATACTGGCACCATACTGGCACCATACTGGCACCATACTGGCACCATACTGGCACCATACTGGCACCATACTGGCACCATACTGGCACCATACTGGCACCATACTGGCACCATACTGGCACCATACTGGCACCATACTGGCACCATACTGGCACCATACTGGCACCATACTGGCACCATACTGGCACCATACTGGCACCATACTGGCACCATACTGGCACCATACTGGCACCATACTGGCACCATACTGGCACCATACTGGCACCATACTGGCACCATACTGGCACCATACTGGCACCATACTGGCACCATACTGGCACCATACTGGCACCATACTGGCACCATACTGGCACCATACTGGCACCATACTGGCACCATACTGGCACCATACTGGCACCATACTGGCACCATACTGGCACCATACTGGCACCATACTGGCACCATACTGGCACCATACTGGCACCATACTGGCACCATACTGGCACCATACTGGCACCATACTGGCACCATACTGGCACCATACTGGCACCATACTGGCACCATACTGGCACCATACTGGCACCATACTGGCACCATACTGGCACCATACTGGCACCATACTGGCACCATACTGGCACCATACTGGCACCATACTGGCACCATACTGGCACCATACTGGCACCATACTGGCACCATACTGGCACCATACTGGCACCATACTGGCACCATACTGGCACCATACTGGCACCATACTGGCACCATACTGGCACCATACTGGCACCATACTGGCACCATACTGGCACCATACTGGCACCATACTGGCACCATACTGGCACCATACTGGCACCATACTGGCACCATACTGGCACCATACTGGCACCATACTGGCACCATACTGGCACCATACTGGCACCATACTGGCACCATACTGGCACCATACTGGCACCATACTGGCACCATACTGGCACCATACTGGCACCATACTGGCACCATACTGGCACCATACTGGCACCATACTGGCACCATACTGGCACCATACTGGCACCATACTGGCACCATACTGGCACCATACTGGCACCATACTGGCACCATACTGGCACCATACTGGCACCATACTGGCACCATACTGGCACCATACTGGCACCATACTGGCACCATACTGGCACCATACTGGCACCATACTGGCACCATACTGGCACCATACTGGCACCATACTGGCACCATACTGGCACCATACTGGCACCATACTGGCACCATACTGGCACCATACTGGCACCATACTGGCACCATACTGGCACCATACTGGCACCATACTGGCACCATACTGGCACCATACTGGCACCATACTGGCACCATACTGGCACCATACTGGCACCATACTGGCACCATACTGGCACCATACTGGCACCATACTGGCACCATACTGGCACCATACTGGCACCATACTGGCACCATACTGGCACCATACTGGCACCATACTGGCACCATACTGGCACCATACTGGCACCATACTGGCACCATACTGGCACCATACTGGCACCATACTGGCACCATACTGGCACCATACTGGCACCATACTGGCACCATACTGGCACCATACTGGCATGGAAGTGGCTAGTGGTAGTGCCTCTCTCCCTCTTCCTCCTCCCCCTCCTCCTCCACCCCCTCCTCCCTTCCGTCCTCCATCCCTTCTTCAGCACCCACAACACCACCTGCCACGTCAGCATTCACATCAGCAGTGGCGCCCGCGTGGCGCGTATCCCCGGCTGCCACGTGGCGGAGCATGGCGGAGGCGAGCAGGTGGGCGGCAGAGGAGATGAAGAGCGGGCGGTGCAATCTGAGCCGCTGGATCTTGGAGGGATCGCGGGTGAGTGTGGCAGAGCACACTAGCTTGATAACTCGATGGCGCTCAATATCGGGTACAGAGAGCAGCGAGGGGACGCAGGTGGCACTGGTGTGGCATAGGGGTTGGATAAGGGAGAGAGGGGCCATGGGAAGTGAAGGAGTGCAAATGAGTATGGGGAAGCACACTAGCTTGATGACTCGATGACGCTCAATGTCAGGTGCAGAGAACCGGGAGGGGAGGCAGGGGGGGCTGCGATGCAACAAGGAAGGAGAGAAGAGGCAGGAGAAGAGAAGGGAGAGAGGTGAGTGTGGGAGAGAGCAGAGGAGCTTGATCACCTGATGGCGTTCATGTGAGGCACGATGGCGTTCATGTGAGGCACGATGGCGTTCATGTGAGGCACGATGGCGTTCATGTGAGGCACAGAGGACATGGAGAGCGCACAGGGAGAGCGCACAGGGAGAGCGCACAGGGAGAGCGCACAGGGAGAGCGCACAGGGAGAGCGCACAGGGAGCAATGCAACGCAGCAACAAAGGAAGGAGAGATGGTGCAAGCGCAGGAGTGCAGGTGCACACACACGCTTGATCACTTGATGGGGCTCGATGTCGGGTGGTGGGAAGAGGGCGAGGATGAGCGGGGTGAATGAGTGTGGCGAAGGGGAACAATGGCAAGTACGGGGCTGTGAGTGGCAGAAGATGAGAGCAAGTGTGAGAAGCAAGAACTTGGTATTAGGACGGGAGGAACAGCACACGGCAGGAGCAGCAATTGAAGGATCACAGGGATTGCAAGGCATGGATGAATGGAGTGGGGCGAGCATGAGAGGGCGAGAGCATGAGAGGGCGAGAGCATGAGAGGGCGAGAGGAACCGTACTGGTGAGATGCACAGAGCAGCACAAGGCAGGGGCACATAGCGGTGGCATACAGCAGCAGCAAAGAGCAGCATGAGGTGAATGTTGGGGGCTCACAGCGATCGCAGGCCGTGGATGAATGGCGTGGGGAGAACACCATCCATGCCGCCACAGCCATGTGCATGCACGCCGCCAACCACACCCGCCGTGCTCACTGCCACGTCAGCATGCGTGCCGGCGATTGCTGACGTGGCAGCAGTGCCAGCGGAAGGGGCGGCAGCAGCAGCGGCGAGGGTTAGAGGAAGCCAGTCGTGGTAGGACTGGCGCAGCAGTCGGTCTGCCTCGTCCACCACCTGATGGGGGCAGAGGGGCGCAGGCAGGGCGAGCAGTGGGGCGCAGGGAGGGATGGGGTTTAGGGGGTGGGCATGGGGGCAGAGGGGGCAGAGGAACACAGAGAGAGCATGGGGGGCAGCGGCGAGGATGAGCGGAAGCCAGTCGTGGTAGGACTGGCGCAGCAGCCGATCCGCCTCGTCCACCTCCTGATGATGATGTGGTGCCACACCATGCGGGGACGAAGGGGGAACAGGGGGGGCAGCGGACAAAGAAGCCCAGAGAGAAGGTGAAGTCGCTGCGCAGGGGGGGGGGCAGAAGAGGGTAGAGAGAGGTACAAGACGGGTCGCAAGCACAATAACTGTCATGCTACAGCCGCTGTGACCCCCACGGGTAGAGAAGCGCAAATGGCTGTAGCAGAGTCACGAGGAACTGCAGGTGAGCGAGGGAAAAGCCCTGAGTGCCTTGCAGTAATCCACACAGTGGCAGCAGCTGTAGCAGAGCCAACAGCTGCAACAGACCCAACGGCTGTAGCGGACTCACAAGGAACTGCAGGTGTGAGAGGTGAAGCCCTGAGTGCCCCTCAGGTGGTCCACCAGCCGCCCCGGTGTTGCCACCACGATATCCGCCCCGCTACAGCCGCCACCCCAATGCTGTAGCCGCTTCCCTGGCTGTAGCTTGAACGACCGAGGAGGCCGCAAGGGGCCGGTGTTGCCACCACGATATCCGCCCCGCTGCGGCACGCCGCCACCCCCAATGCTGTAGCCGCTGATTGGCTGTAGCTTGAACGACCGAGGAGGCCCAAGGGGCCGGAATGGGGGGCGGGGTGCGGCACGAGGTGGGTCGCCTCGTCAGCGAGCGATGATTGGCCGTTGATGAGAGCCACTGAGAGGCCGACAGCTGGCGCTATGGTGTCAAACACGTGCTTCACCTGCAGCGACAGGCAGAATGGCACGGTGGGGGGCGAGGTGGGGGAGAGAGGTAGAGGGGAAGACAGAGAGGGTGTGTTCAAGGGGAAGACAAGTAACGTTGGAAAGCAATGGTGGGAGAGTGAGGTTGATGGTTACAGTTTGGTTGGAGAAGTGGGGAAAGGGAGGAGGCGAGGTAGATGTGAGTGCAAGGCAGCAGCTTGTGTGTGCAACCGCACGGCCACACCACAACACCCACCTGAGCAGCCAGGTCCCTCGTGGGCAGCACTACCACAGCCCGCACTCGTCGCACCACGCGCCCTGCCAGCGCCTGCACCACTGGCAGCGCATATGCCAGCGTCTTGCCGCTCCCCGTCGGCGCACACACCATAAGTCGTGCGACGCCGCCCGCAGCCCCGCCACCTCTTGCTCCTCGCCGCCCTCCCACTCCGCGTGCGCGCCTCCCCCTTTTCGTCCTCCCTTCCCCCCATCCTTCGCCTTCCTGGGTGCTTGTCGCTCATGGGAGTGGGAATGCGAGTGGTTGCCGGGTAACCCCAGCAGCTCACGCCACACCGTGGCTTGCACGGGAAAGAGGTAAGAAATGCCAGCCGGGGCGAGGGCGCGCAGCAGGCTGGCAGGGGGGGGAAGGGCGGACCGGTGGGGTGTGCAAGAGGGGATGTGGGGGAAGGAAGAACAGCGATTGTGATGAGGGGAATGAGAACGAGAGGAAGAAAGGGGAAGAGGGGAGGGGAAAGCAGCAGGGCTTGAGTGTTGCAGTGAACGAGAGAAGGCAAGAGATGTCAGTGAGGACGACCAGGCGAATTGCCACAAGCCTCCTAACCCATGGCCACCGTACCGTTTGTCTAGGTTCGGCACCGAGGCTAGAGGAACGGCATCAGCTGTGGAGCACTTCACCGGCGCCCGCATCCACGGCAGCACCGCGGCCCCCCCTCCCCCTGCCCCTCCGCCTCCCCCTCCCCTTTTTGCTGCTGCTTGCGGTTTAGAAGGTGCCTGAAGCGCCGCCTCTGCACCCGCAACGCCATCATCACCATCGCCCCCTCCGTCGTGCCCCTCTTCTCCTCTCTCGCTCTCTCCATCTCCCCCCGCTGCCTCGTCTGCTTCCGCCATCAACGTGTCCTCCCCACCATCCAAGCCTCTATCCTGCTTCCCTCGCCCGACCCCCTTCCCCTTCCGCTCCTTCTTCCTTTTCGCCTTTCCCTCGACATCCCTTGAACCTTTTTCCTGTTCCGAGTCTTCCTGCTCCGCAGGCGCTACACCCCCAAACCCCGAACCTCGCTCAAACCCTCCTCCGCCCCCTGCTTCTCCGTTCCCCTCGCCACCGCTCTGTACCGCAGCAAAGCTCGCAACCGCCACATCCCCCCGCCGCCGTTTCCTCTTCTTTTCCTGGCCCCCGCATCTGGGGTTACCTGCGCAAACTCCCCACTTGCGTCTCTAAACCCTTGCGCTGCATTCGTTGCGAACCTCCCCAAACCCTCGCCCTCGCCGCCTAACGCATTCCCTGCCTGCTCGTTCGCCCCTTCAAGTGCGACGTCGTGCGACTTTCCCACCGTCGCAGGCGACTCTTCTGCTCGTAACAAACCCGTAATTTTCCGTTTCCTGCGACCGTCTACAGTTTCTGCCGCTTCGTGCTCTCGAGCGACAGGCGACGCCACGTCAGCACGCTCACTCGTCGCCGCTGTTGAATGCACGAGCCGTGCCGCTTCGCCCTCATAAGTAGCACCCGTAACTCGCGCATCCTTATTTTCCTTCGCTTCTTTCTTCGCCTTATTTTTCTTCTTCTTTACATTCAACCCTTCTCCCACAATCTCTCCGCCGCGAAAATCTCGTTCTTCGCTAAGTCAACGTGTCCTTCACCCACGCTCGTCCCTCCGCGTCCTAAAAAGCTACTTTTCCCCCCTGCTGTGTTCTTATGCTTGCCCTCCGCCAATCGTTCTGCCTTCTCGCCGCCAAAAGGCGACTCGGATTCGATATGTGCGGAAAAGGACGGGGCGGAAACGGGAGTGCGCGGAAGAAGGGGAGGAGATTTGAGCGGCGGAGTGGAGGTGTGGAGGTATGACGAGGGAAGCGCCTCCTGAAGGCCATCCCAGCGCTTCACGGGAAACATGGCGCAAACTCAGCTACCGCGAGTTAATGACGCGCGATCAGCTGGCGTGGTGAATTAGGAAGGACGGCATCGCACGGAATAGGAGATGCTGAGGCGAGGACTTCAGCTCTAAACAGACCAGTCACGGTTTTGGCTTCACAAGCTAGAAGGATTTGACACCTACGCCAAGTTGGCAAGCACAAGAAGTGAGAGGGAAGAAAGCTCAGTCCCACAATTCTCGAAGTGGAATTGCGATTCTGCGGAATAAACGAAACCGAGAAATCTTAACACAGCATACCTTTCTCGGCCTTTTGGCTAAGATCAAGTGTAGTATCTGTTCTTATCAGTTTAATATCTGATACGTGGACCATCGGTCCACATGATATTAAATTAATTTCTTTCGGGGGCAGGTGCCAATGGCCAGCTTGCTGGTCGGCCTTGCGCGCGTCGCCTCGGTATTGCACTAACTCCGAGGAAGGCGCACCCCTTCCCCGATGGGGGTCCAAAGAAAAGCTGAAATGGGATTTAATAATAGAAGTTGGAAAGGCTATCGAATGGTAAATGGTTGCTAAATTGAATGTGCTAGCACTGAAGTTGTGAACAGTGTGGGTGGCGAATTGACATCAGTCTAGATCTGACATTCCCAGCAATGGTTACCCCACATTCGGTAGTTTTTTTTTTTTGGTTGCGAAGCAACCTATTACAATCGTTATGTTCATTTTTTTTTCATCCTCTTTACTTAAAAAAAAAAGGATAAAGTAACTAAGTGACTGACTGCCATGTCTTTGCCATGGCAATTTAGCATGCGCCGTACCACATTTCTTCTCATTTCTTGGTTCGCCTTGACCGAACCAATACTCATGGGTTGCTAAAATGATGTTCCTGTGAACGCGTGACTGTTTATTCCGTAATGCATAAGCCGGATGATGTTACGGTATGCGTAGATGAATTATAATGATGGATATGGTGAAAAAAATTTTTAATGAAAAAATGCATAATTATGTTGCATATACTACTGTGGTAATGAAATGAATGCATATCATGATAAAAATGCGTCACAGTTAATTGACACAGACCCTATGCTACGGCATCCCCTGCCTAGCATGGGGGGGGCTCAATAGCATAGTTCCTGAGTCATCCAACTGTCACATGAAACAACACAATCTGTGCGAAGTAAAAAAAAGGTTAATTTGTCAAATGTTGTAGCCTATAGTGAGGTTTGTCTTAGGGGGTACAAAACTTAGGGTTAGCTATATGTACCCCAACCAACATCAATGCATCATCCATTTCTCATTCTGACATGGTATCAGTTAGGTTAGGATCCTGTGGGATCCCGTTTCTCCGTTCTCCGATCGTACCACCCGAGCCTGATCCTAGCTCTCGTTTCGCCCGTCTTGCCCGAGCCTAGTGCCGGCCCGATCTAGTCCCGTTCGTTCGTTACCGCTCGTTCTTCCTCACGCTGCTAGTTCGTTCTTCCTCCCGATCTAGCGTAGCCCGATCTAGCGTACCGCTGCAGGTCGCGCTGCGCTTTCCCCCCCCCCCCGCTGCCGTCGAACCGTGCTTCCCCCCCCCCCCGCTGCCCGTCGACCCGCGCTTCCCCCCGCTGCCCGTCGACCCGCGCTTCCCCCCGCTGCCCGTCGACCCGCGCTTCCCCTCGTTGCCCGTCGACCCGCGCTTCCCCCCGCTGCCCGTCGACCCGCGCTTCCCCCCGCTGCCCGTCGACCCGCGCTTCCCCCCGCTGCCCGTCGACCCGCGCTTCCCCCCGCTGCCCGTCGACCCGCGTTTTCCCCCGTTGCCCGTCGACCCGCGCTTCCCCCCGCTGCCCGTCGACCCGCGCTTCCCCCCGCTGCCCGTCGACCCGCGCTTCCCCCCGCTGCCTGTCGACCCGCGTTTCCCCCTGCTCGCTGTCAAATGATATATATGTGTGATACATATTGGTAGGCTGTAGTGGGGTAGATGTTATAGGGGATAACCCCTTAGGGTTTTCCTACTTGTAAAATTTCTCTCGATAGTCAACTTCACCTTGCCTAGCTATCTCAACATGGCATCTAGAGCAATGGTCCTAAGGACCTAAGATTGGGGCCCACCTACTCATGAGTTACTTTCCCTACAGCTATACCTACGTGCCTACCTTGCCTGCTGCCCGCGCGCGCCTCGGCTGCATGCGCGCGTGCATTTTTTTTTAGCGCGCCCCGCTGCCTTAGCCGCCCGCGTGCTCGCTGCTGTCGCGCGCAGCTCGTCACCGCGCGCAGCCCGCCGCCACGCGCGACCCGCCGCCGCGTGCAGCCAGTAGCCACGCGCAGCCCGCAGCCACGCGCAGCCCGTCGCCGCGCGCAGCCCGCAGCCGCACGCAGCCCGTCGCCGCGCACAGCCAGCTGCCACGCACAGCCCGCAGCCGCGCGCAGCCCGCTGCCGCGCGCAGCCCGCAGCAGCGCGTGCCCTGCCCTGCCTGTGCGCCACTGCCTCGACCTGAGCGCTTAGCCGCCCGTGAGTCGTGCGCTTACCTGCCTTACGCGCGGCCTGTCACAGAACTGCGTGCTTCCTTACCTGCTACAGTTGCCTGCTGCCTGAGCCTGCTGCCTGAACCTGCAGTCTTTGCCTGCTGCCTGAGCCTGCTGCCTGAGCCTGCTGCCTGAGCCTGCTGCCTGAGCCTGCTGCCTGAGCCTGCTACCTGAGCCTGCTGCCTGAGCCTGCTGCCTGAGCCTGCTACTTTTGCCTGCGCTACAACCATGGCGACCCTTACTGTTCTCGCCTTTGAGCCTGACGGCCGCCCCATCGAGTTTGACACCTGGCTTAGTGACCTGCGCCTTTACCTTATGACTGACGTCGCAGACGGAGTGTCCCTGCTAGCCTATGTGACCGGCACTGTCCCTACTCCTGCTGAGACTGCTCCTGCCCCTGAACGAGCACAGTGGGAGCTCCGCGATGCTGTCGCGCGCCTTGTTATTCGCAATCACCTACCGATCTCTGAGCGCGCGCATTTCAACCAGCTTAAGACTGCTAAGACGCTGTATGATGCTGTCGTTGCCCGCTATTCCGCCCCGACCACAGCCACCGTTGGTAGTCTCATCCTGCCTTACCTGTTCCCAGACTTAGCCTCGTTTCACACTGCTGCCGACCTTATCACTCACCTCCGCGCTAGTGACGCCCGCTTTCGAGCCGCTCTTACCAAAGAGTTCCTCGCCACGAACACCCCCCCGCTGTACTTCACCCTCTACATCCTCGTCACCCGCCTCCCTGACACTCTTCGCTCTGTCAGGGATTACTTCCTTGCCAAGGATCCTCCAACTATCACTCTGGACGACTTCGAGCAGCAGCTGGTCGCAGCAGAGAAGAACATCCTCGCTGTCGGTGCTGCTCGTGGCACTCCCCGCACTCCCCTCTTTGAGGGGTGCTCCCCCTCCCCTCTTGACCCCTCCTACGCCTCTGCTGCTACTGCTGTCGACTTCCTCGGTGCGGAGAAGGTCGCAGCGGCTTCCGCTCCTGGTGGGAAGCGTGGTGGTGGCAGGGGCGGCAAGGGTGGCAGGGGTGGCGGAGGTGGCGGTGGAGGGAGCGGTGGTGGAGGCGGCGGGGGTGGTGGAGGTGGTGGGGGTGGCCGTGGGGGTGGAGGCGGTGGGTGGGGTGGCGGCAGGACCGGGAGCGGTGGAGGCGGCGGCGGCGGTGGTGGGGGAGGAGGCAGCGGCAGTGGCGGTGGAGGTGGGAGTGGGGGTGGATCTGGCCAGAAGGGTGGCCAGCAGCAGCAGCAGCAGCAACAGCCACAGCAGCAGCAGCAGCTTCCTCCCCTCACCTCCCAGCAGCTCAATGACTGGTATGCTGGGCGTGGGGCGTCTCGGGGTTCTGACCGCTGCCCCTATGTCATTCGTACTGGCCCCCGCAAGGGTCGCCCCTGCAACGGTTTTCACACTGAGTATCGTTGTTTTGCTAGGCTTAGTGACGCCTGGCGTACTAAGTATCCTGATGCTACTGAGTTCCCCAACTGGGCAGAGCTGCTTAGGCGTGATGTGCCTATCTTTGATCTGGACTATGATGTTATTCTTGCTGCCATGTATGCATTGACTGTTAGTGCTGAGGGTGACTGCTACTTGTGTGTGCCGCCTGACCCCGGTATAAGGACTGCAGCCCTAGGTGCTAGTGAGTCTGCTCCCCTTGGTACTGAGTCGGCTCAGGCCTTGCACACGTTTACACTTGACTCTGGTGCTTCCCGCTGTTTCTTTCGTGATAGCACCACCGTCACTCCGCTCCCTGCACCTGTCCCTGTCTCCCTGGCTGACCCCTCTGGGGGCCCAGTGCTTGCACGCGGCACGACTGTGCTCCCGTGCCCGGCGGTCCCGTCTGGTGAGCTGTCAGGTCTCCTCGTTCCCTCGTTCTCTACGAACCTGGTGAGCAACGCCGTCCTCCAGGATCACTGGGTTGACACCTGGACTCCTGGAGGGCAGCGTGTGGCGATCTGTACGTGCTCCAAGACTGGCCGCCACCTGGCCACGTTCACTCGTGAGCCGGGGTCCAGTCTGTACACCCTCACCACTGTTTCACGCTCCGCTCCTTTGTCTCCACAGCTGTACGCGTCTGCTCAGGTAGCTACCCAGTGTGAGTGCCGCCGCCTGTCGCACGACACGCTCCTGTGGCACCACCGCCTTGGTCACCCCTCCCTGCCTCGCCTTCGTAGCATGCACTCTCGCTCTCTGGTCTCTGGGCTTCCCAGGTCTCTGCCTGCCCTCCCTCCCTCGCCTGCGCCGCCCTGCATTCCCTGCGTCGAGGGGCGGCAGCGCGCCGCTCCTCACTCCTCCTCGTTTCCTCCCACAGAGGCTCCCCTGCAGACGCTTCACCTGGACGTGTGGGGCCCAGCCCGCGTCCAGGGACAGGGCCGTGAGCGGTACTTTCTGCTGGTTGTCGACGACTTCACGCGTTACACCACGGTCTTCCCCTTGCGCAGCAAGGGAGACGTCCCTGCTGTTTTGATCCCCTGGATCCGCGCTGTGCGTCTCCAGCTCCGCGAGCGGTTCGAGCGGGACTTTCCTGTC